TAGGACGGTTGTTTTGTTAGGTGATTTTAACTGCGTTGTCAGAGCAGCAGACAGAACGCCGTCTTGACAGCGCGCTGATAGACGTTCGGCAGGTCTGGCGGAATTGCTCGAAGATTATGATCTGATACACGTTGGACGTGCGAGATGCGCTTCACCCACTTTCAAGCTTCATCTTATGCTCGGTTAGACAGAGTTTATGTTTCAGCCTCTATGGCCACGTTGTCAATAAAGTACCGCGTCACCCCGTGTTTTTTTTTTTTTCTTCTGATCATTGTTTTATTTTAACAACAATCGGTGAAAGAGCGCAACCGAAATCCAAGTTCAACTTGAGGCTTTCGAAGTTGAATATAAATCTCCTGAAGGATGATGCTTTTCTCGAAGCAGCGGATAAAGCTTTCAGAAACGTTTTTGAAGGAAGGAAGAGTGACATTTTTGAGGTGTGGGAACTCGCCAAGCAGGAAATTAAGATGATCGCTATCGAGAGATTTGCCGTTTTGGCGTTTGCGGCGCGCAGCAGTGAGCGTGAAATGAGGAGGAATTTGCTAGGGCTCTTGAGGGCGGAGTGCGAAAGGCCTGGCGTGGGTCTTAAAGACAAGAAAGCGTTAGAGCACAAATAGACGAGTTGCATCTCGAGCGGTAGCGGGGTGCCCTAGTTCGTGCTTGGTCAGAGAAATACGGAGTGGGAGAGCAAACTACCAAACGAGCTCTAGCGGAGGAAAAACGCTACGCACTCCGCAATGAAATCGGCGAGATCGAATACCAGGATGTAAGTATCACGAGCCGAAATCATATTCGGAAGGCTTTTGTGGACCATTATAGGAATCTTTTTGAAAGCCAAGCCAACGGACAGAGAGATCCTATGTTTGCGGGCCTTCTTAAGGTCCTACCTTAATTGGACGCAGAGGAGCAGGAAAGGCTCAATCAGCCTATTAAATTGCAGGAGGTAGAGAGGGCGATCTACGACTTGCCGAGCGCAGAAAAGCCGGGGCCAGACGGGCTGCGGGGAGAGTTTTACAAAACGTTTAAGAACGTGGTGGGTAGTTTTTTGGTATACGTGTAATCTCCGAAACGTATGAACGTAAGTGGTTGCCACCGTCGTTTGCCCGAACTTATACTGTTTTAATCCCCGAAAGCGACGATGTTGACAAGCTTAGAAAAGTCACAGGTTACCGACCGATAATGTTGTGCAACGTCGATTAGAAAGTTTTCGCGAAAATTTTGGCGCGCCATTTTCCGAGCATCGCCTGCCAGATCACTGGCGAGCACCAGACTTGTGGGATTCAAGGGCGGTCTATTAGCCCCGTGCGCGACCGAAAGCGTCGCTGTGGTCGGCCTTCCGCGATTGGCCGAACGCTGACTATGACGTAGGAAAGGGGATTTATCATCGACAGAAATAAGAGGAATGAAAGAACTTTAATTTTGACGGTGTTGGCAGTGTTGCTTTAAGAGCTCAATGATTTCAAGCTTCCACCATGCTATTTACAAACACCATCGAACTTGTTGTTTGCAAGCTAATGACGTCACAAGGGGGAACCATAGGAGGGCGCCACCAAAACATCTCGCCGCTAATAGGAACAAATGTTCACGTTGCGCGTTGTGTTTTAGAGGCATGCGACCATGGCATAGATCACGTCGCTATGCTCCAAATAGACCTTGACAAGGCTTTTGACTGCGTTAAACACGACGTTGTTTTTATGGGTTGGAGCGCGCCAATGTTGGTACAACCATTTTGGAAGGGGCCAAATTGGCATATATAGGTTGTACGACAAATCTTATTGTAAACAAAGAGTTGACCGAAGAAATACTGTGCGGTTATCAGTCAGACAAGGGTTACCTTTGTCACCTTTATTTTTTAATCTGTATCTAAAAATGTTCTGCTTGAGTCTTTTAGGCAGCGAGGATAATCGTGGTTACCGGTTGGGGGACGTTGAGATTATGATAATGAGTTATGCGGATGATAGCAGTATTTTGCAGTGAAAAAAGGAGCGTTCGTGCTCCTGTGGTGTTCGTAAAAAGGTTTTGTGACGCCACAGGGCCAGCAGTAAACTGGGAAAAGTGCCGTGGATTTTGGCATGGGGCGTGGGCCACAACGCCTTCAGTTTTTGAAGGCATCAGCTGGGACCGGGCATCGTGCACATACCTCGACGTGCCTTTAAACTGCTATCGTGAAAACATATCCTAACGGTCGGGTGTCGGCACCGACCTCGGCAGGCGCGCCTCTCACTGGAAAAGGCGGGACCTGTCCATTTTTGCCTCGCGGGACTGTTTGCAATGTTTTTCTTATTGCCAAGTTACGGTATGTGTTGCAAGTACTTCATTGTGCGCGCATGAACGTGCAAAAGTTTGACCGCGTTTTTGCGACATACATCTGGAACTCGTCTTGGGAGCCCATTAGGCGCGACAATCTGTATCATCGTGTCAGTGATGGCGGATTGGGATTACCGCAATTGTTTGTACGACAGTTGGTGTCACTTCTTTTTCTCCGCGATCAAGACCGCCCTTTTTTACCCGCGTTCATTCTAATAAAACTGTCACCTCATTTGCTGACCTTTATTTTATCATCCTATGGCAGTGAGTCATCAAGACTGTATGGTTTCCAGAAAGAGGTTGTCGACGCTTTCCACTTTTGGTCTTCCCGCTTTTCTTTGGAGTATCTGTCTGTGGTAACCAGAAGACGCTAAAACGTGACTTGACGCTAAGTTTGTTTCCTGCCCCGCTGTACAGAAGTTTAATTTTACGCGATGGTCGCGATGTTCCTAAACGTGTTAAGCGCATGTGTGTACCACCCGCTTCCAATTTTTTTTTTTTTTTTCAGATTGCATAGCAGTGCTTTTCCAGTTAATGCTTAGCTTAGAGAAAAGGGCGTGCGTATGCCATGACCGGTGGAGTGTATGTTTTGTAAACAACCCGAGACCGCCGAGCACGTTTTTATTTTCTGTTAGGACGCAGTTCTTTCCTTTCCTGAGGGGGGGGGGGGGGGGGGGGGGGGGTACGTTTTCCAGCGTGTGCTAAAAAACAGAGCTCTGTATCAGCCCGTCGGGCATACGTTTTTTTGAGTGTAAGCGGCGATGATTGTGTACAATTCGATATCTTCTTTCTTTTAAAACTGTGCAGCATTTTCAGTCACATGGCAGTACGTCACGCCGACCCCAATATCAAAGTAGTTTGGTTTTATTTCTTTGACCTTTTTAAACATGTAAAAAGTATTTTTTTTTTTCACCCGTGAGCCCAAGATCGAATGGCTAGGCCTTTGCAAAGAGCTATTGGAAATGAATGCCCTGCAATGCCCTGCAAGGACTTTGCAGAGCATTTTCATCATTTGATATGTGTTCTCTGCATTATGTAATAAAGAAAGAAAAGTGCCTTGTATAGACTAGTCAGTAGCGTCTCTGGCTCGCAACTGAAGGGTTGTGGGTTCGAATCCCGCCTAAAGGTCTTCAAATTTCTATTTAAGGTAAATGAATGATTTTATAAACTAAAATAATTTGAGACATGCGATAAACTTTAATTGATATTACATTTCATGTTCTTTAATATCTTTAATTACACGCGGGACGTCACGTTCCACCTGAGCGTTGAGGGTTGTTTATAATTCCCGCGCGAGGTCATGTGGCTCTGACGTCATGACCCTATAGACCAATCAAGATTTTAGTGGCACGACACCGGCTTTTTCTCGTCACGTCACTGGCGCCGGATTTTTCGCGACACGAGCTCCCTAACGCTACCGCGTTAAAAAAATGTTGTGGCGTCCTCTGTGGTAATGCAGCGGACCCAGGATCCAATCCCCAGAGCGGCGGTGGATCTTTTTTAGGCAGTTGGAAATATCCACGACGGACGCCCTGCGCCCAACTACGCCAACAACTACAACGACAATGCGACAACGTACGCCATATCCACTGGTGGGAACAGGCCATAACAGCTCTCTCTCTTTGTAAAATTAAGCGAACACAAGAGGTGGTCATCGCGTGCCCCGTTTTGCTTTCCTTCTGCGTTCTCTGCGTTCATGGAATCTGAAAACGTTAAGCCAACGGAAACTTGTTTTTCGATTCCTGAATACTCTCTCGTGCCGTACATCGGAATGTTAGTGTTTCAAGCAGTCGGTGGGCCGAAGCGCCACATATTTCCCAAAACGTCTGTTTGACATGTTTAGTGGCAATGTGGAAGAAGCATTACTTCAAAACACGTTAGAAAAACTGTAAAAAAAAATTGAAAAATAAAACGATCTTAGATTACGGCTACCTTGAGGTTGCAATATAATAAATACGGATTTTGAATGCAGGAATTAAAAAGGCTAATATATCATTTGATTTATTCAGGAAATCGAAAGCTATTGCTATCCTTGTATCCATTGTCCACTGGGGAGCATAACCTAATGTTCAAAAACAAATATCATGTACCTTCTGTAGTTTCTTTTCTTTTCATAACACGCCTGAATTAGTTTTGAACACCATGCGTATTGATTTACCCAAAAACCTTTACATGTGACAAATGAGTGATGACAGACAGCAACACAAATCTGCTTCATATTCCTACAGGAAGCAAAGTTGAATATATATTGGAATATAAGTTGTCCTATGTTGAGTGTTTGCATACAGCATTACGAAACCACACGGTGTTGCGGTTGAACCCAAATCAGGTACCAATATAATAAAAAAATTATTCCCAGACACACAATCAGCAATAAAAACTAGAAATAACAATAAGATAATTTTCTCATTGTTTTACGACGCTTTCTTAAAGGTTAGTCTCAATATTATACGAAGAGACGAGAGGAGAGGGACGAGGTACTTTGAAGATTTGTGGGACAATGGCCTCCAGCAAACTTGAAAAAAGTTAAGCATCATTTGTGGTACACTTAATTGAAGCAGAGGTTTTTACGGTGCACAGTGTGCGATTGAACTGTGTAGAGAAAAATTGATAAATACCATTAATGCCGAGGAAGAACGACGTTTTTAGCTGCCGTTCTTTTCTACTAGATTAGAACAAAAACTGGCCGATACCTTTAGGTTTTCGAGGATGTCTCCGTGGTACGCGACGTCCTTGCCGATGGCAACCAGCACGTGCTCGTATCCCCCGTCCCGCTTGTCGACGGTGGCTGTATCCACGCATCCCAGTGAAACGAACACCAGGGAAGTGAGGAGCAGCGGGGTCATCATCACCTTGAGGGAACGAAACCAAAGTCATAGCAACGCTATCTTTAAGTGCCAGAGTATTAGTTGGTAAGTACTATTGCGGACACTATTAGCTATAACACGGCAACCGTGGCCCTTCCGTACCCCACCGCCACATAGCAGGCGCCCTCCGAAACATCACTTTCAGGTTGCGATCACGCTCTTTCCCTGTCGTCTGCCAGGCGCAAAGCAGACGCCACCGGAGCACTTGTCGATGTTTATTTGTGCATGAACTCTTTCGGTACAGAAATTTTCCGACTCGCGCAAACGAGTCAGCCAAGCAACCAACAAAGTGGACATTCCGATGAAGCGATAGGCGACACATTGGCCGGTGATAGGCACACCCGCCAGTGATAGGCACATTGGCCGCCGTCGTTTCTACAACTATCGTTGTCTTCTTGTTGACCTCGGTATGTACCCACCACATGCTATAGAAGAATTACAAAAAATATGTTTTTTATGCAGCAAGCAGTGCGTGGTCCTGTTGATTGCGCGCAGCGGTTGATGGCGTTAAGGTTTGCTGTACCATCCGGGAGGAGAACCAAGTGCTGCATATGTTTGTGACTTTTGACACCGAACTGCCACTAAGTTGTTTGCAGGCACCCAATAAAATATCTAGCTATCAATATCGAGCTAAGCATAATTGTTACCGACGATTGTATACCCATCTGAGTAGAATACTTGAATTAACCTGACACCTGTTGATTGCTTTTTCTTGTGTCAGACTTGCTGCGCTAATTATGCTTAGTTCAGTATATTCCTTTCGTCGGATGGCCTAAAAAAGCTTTTGACACGAACATCGGCAAGTGCTGTGGCGGTAGGGGATGTCTGATTTGCGACTAGCAGACGACAAGGAGAGTGTGTTCTCGTAATCTGGAAGAGCAATTCCGCCGTACAGGGTCGGTGTGGTGGCCGCGGAGTTTCAGAGTGCCCCAGCTATGTTGCGCTGGTGGTACAGAACGCCCACGGCAGCAGCCGCGTCATAGCTAGTATAGTGCTCGCGATAATACACCTATTTATTGTTCAGTCATGGCTGCATGAATTATAGACGCCTCTTTTCCTGAAAACCTTAGGTAGCTGGTAAAGATATCTCAGTTCACGTTAAGGCTGGTTCACACAACACCGTTAGTCTCTGTTTCCGTAACTTTTGTTAAAAAAAAATAATATTTGCGGTTACTGTCCTTTATGTAAAATTACTAAATTGCTGTTTCCCAGGCTAATTATACAAGAGACAGTTTTTTTTTTTTTTTTTTTTTTTTTTTTTTTTTACAATTAACACTTGTTTTTGTAAAAAGAAAGCCGGGTTTCTGTTTTGGAAGTTTGTGAAAAAAAAACGATGTTTTTTCCAGGTTGCGAAAAAGTTTAAAGGAACACTGACATTCCCTAAAATGTTTTTCTGCGAGGTGACTTTTATGGTTTCAGACACTGTTGTAAGAAACGGCGTTCCTGGAACGCGTTCCTCTTCGGAGTAACGAAGGAACGCCGCCCTTCCATTTTGCATCAGTGGAACTGTAACGGGGACTCGTTACGTTTTCACTGGAACGGGAAAAGGAACGGCGTTCCTTCTTTTCGTCCAGCGGGCTATTTTTATTCTATTTCTAAGAGGGAAATTCTACAAGTACAAAAACAATACCTTTACAAGAGCAGGATCTCGTTAACTTTTTGGTTACTTATGTTAGGGTGTATTTTGTGTGGTCCTCACTTGGTAACAGTCGGGTGCAGGAGAGCTAGTGGACATTGATTCTTTTTTGAGTGCTCGAGAATGTGGTACAAAAAGCAAAACGTTTAGTACAAGGAAAAGTCACTGAAAAAAGGGACGTTTCAAACTCAGCTACTTTCTTTGTTTCCACGAGTCCTCATACACCAGACAGCTAAGGCCAGCCACAGGCCTCACTGAACTTTCACAAAAATACCTACAGTTATAACAAAAGAGCAGGTTACCAGACAACGAACGCACCCTTGTATCCCGAACAATGGCCACTTAAAAGATACAAAAAAAAAAAAAAAGAGAAAGACGTTTACAATTTTAGTAACGCCGAATTAGAGCGTGTCGGCGCTCTAATTCGTCAGCGGCGGTGGGTTCGCCCATGCTAGACAACGAAGGGACGGGGCAAGCATGCTGCCTCCTTGCTCGTCTCCGCTCATATGACGAGGAGTAGAAGCCATGCCAGCGACGCTGGCTGTCTTCGATGCCATCGACGCCATTGCCAAAAATAAACAAGAAGAACGCGTACTCGTGACCTAGGCAGGGTTGAGCTGCGCAAGGATGTCATTTCCGGTCAGTGAAACGCTTCGTTCGGCGACAGAAATAGGTCCTGGACCTATACGTCTTGCCGCCGCGTTCTGCGCCCAGCAGTTCGCCCCAGCGGCAAAAGCTGTGACGATTCACTAGCGGATCCGCAAGTCTAAGCGTACCATAAAGTGCGATACAAACCAACGTGTTCTTATGCGCGCGTTGGTCATGCGGCTCCCGGAAACTGCGCATTTTATGACGTCAGTGCGCCTTCGGGGCGCGCATAGGAAAGTTCGATGATTTCAGCTTTTTCTGAACGCACAAGAAAACGCGCTGTGACGTAGTAGGGCGCTCCTGCTCCCGGCCAATCGGTGGAGGGCACTATACATCTTTTCCGTCTAACCTCGACCCAGCGCGTAACGCGCGTAGCCTCGACTCGGCGACTCGGCGCACAGCGGGAATGGTTCTTCCGGTTCTAACACTTCCGGTATGCGGGAGCAGGCCCAGCCGGCTGGCAAGATGCTGAAGTAGCGCGCGTTAAATGGGTTTTGAAGCCCTTGACAGCGAAGTGAGTTGTGATAAGGTGGGTTAATACGATCGATGTATCATGTCCGCGCATATTTGGTCATCGGGCTGCCACTGCGCAGTCGTTGGCTGCAGCAGCAATTTCCGAAAACGGAAGATAGCGCGCGACAAATTGTGCACCGAACACAAGAAGTCGCAAAGCGAATGTGGCTGTAACGTATACATTTTGCATCGCTTCCCCGCTGATATCAGCGGGGAAGCGATGCAATATCAGCTCATAATAAAAGCAAATAGGCAGTATAGAAACGGACATCTACAAGTGCAGTAATAGGCCTCGACAAGTCAAATGTAGAACGAATTTTGCAGCTTGTGGTGCAAATGTAAGACCCTGGGTGTAATGATTGTTATTGGCTACTTAAGTTTTGTTTTTCATTCCGTTCATTCCTACGAGGATGTGCACTATAATTTTGTGTGTTGCTCGGTAGCGACGCCCGTTAAAATACGTTAATGGAAACAATACGAAAAGAGGGCGCAAAATCGTCGTCGTCCTCCCCCCCCCCCCCCCCCCCCTTTTCACCCCCATCTCCTGAATAGTTCCGATGCATCTGGGCGTCATACGAAGTACAGATGTCCCGGTAACTAACGATCGTACCTCGACGGTGCACCATAACAATAAACCGTTCGCCCCGCGTCGCCAACTCCCATTGTGAGTATTTCTACGATTAAACGATGATACTTCTATGCCCAGGGTCGCCCTCGCTCGCGCATAGAAACCCTCCGTTAGTCATTTGCAGAAGGCTGTCATTCTTCACAAACAACAACACGCGAAGAGTAAACACTGGTAAACGTCCTCAGGAAAAGTGAACATGCCTCCGATTTCGATTACCGGCGACACTGGCGACGAACCTCTCGGCGCTGTTGGCGCAAGAACGGGCGCCATGAAGGCGAATAAACACGCCAGAACACAAGAATAATTCACACTTTCAATAACAAACGAATTAAGAACTCACTAAAGGAAAAACAATGAAGATACGATGCACGGGGTCAATGGGGACAACGCGGGAGCTACACTCTTAGAAAAAAGGGTACGGATAGTCCTCCCTTACGGGAGGAACGGTCTTGTAACCTATGTTCCTTTAGAAAGGGAGAAACCTTCGTCCCTGAAGCAGGGGAGCAAAGTTCCTCCGTCGCTTGCATCTCAATATGGCGGCCCCGAATCGAGCAAATCGAGCCCAATAAGGCTTAACGAGGACGCTACGTCTCTTGTACGGGCGAGAGCAGCAGCAAATGAAAGCGTAACCGAGCTTTCCGCAAACTGTGTTTATTCCCGAAGCCAGATTCTCCCCACAGGTGCAGAAACCTGCGTTTCGAAAGCAGTTACTCAGTCTTCTCGTCGACAGCACTGCGATGTTAAACGGGGACAACCGATACCCAGTTACTTCGCGCACTTTGCGTCTTACCTTTGGCGTTCCTCGAGTCACAATTCCTTCGTCAACCGCACATCACGGAGAAGGGCAAACTCGCTCCGCGAAACCAAAAGCCGCTCTCGAAAGAACGAACTCGAAGCCGCTGCTTATCGCGTAGCGTGAAAGAAGGTTAAATCGCTAGCCACCAGATGGCGGGGTCAAGCAGAGTAATTGCAAGTAGCTAGGCTAGATGGCGCTAGGTACCGCCCAATTCATGTTCTACAAAAAATAATTTGCTTCTCTCAGGCCACTGCTGCGCTTGAGGACCCTCTACTATACACACATGACACCCATACACTTATTACAAGCATCAGGTGAACATACATTAAGCACATGCACTGCACACACAAATATCAATACAACGGAATACCACACTAACCCGAACACTACACCCGTGCTCTGCGTTTCCGTCTTTTATACTGGTCGTTTTGAACGTGCGGAACTTTTCGGTGACTCCCTAAGCAATAAAATATATTCCCAGCATATTGATTTTTTCCCTGCAATGTCATACCTCTGAGAGTATTTTGAATGGCTCAGGGGTTGAATCTCTTATTAAAAAGTAAACGCTCAATCATGCCGTAATTAATTGAAAGCCAATAAATCAAGCCGCTCCAATGTGGTTCGAAGCCATGAGTTTGTTTCCCCACACTGCACGTCGTAGCTTGTATTTCTATTTGTTTTTCTCTTTGTGCTGTTCGCGCAAAGCTGCAATTGCCGTTTGAATTAATCTCTGTAGAGCGGATATTCAGTCAGCTGGAAGT